CAATGGTATTTATTTTTGTATTAGGATTTTTTTTTGGAGGAATGAAAACAGAGATGGAAGAATGTTTCTGCACATATTTTTTGGAAGATAATTTAGGCTACCTATCCTCATCTTATGAGCATGGAATGTATGATTGAACTAAGCGGACATAATTACAAATAGTTTGGTGCTCCTTTTCTCTGCATTTTTGTGGCTCTCTATTGTATTAAGCTAACATACACAGCTCTGTTAAGCTACTTTAGGACATAAGAAGATACATCTTTCAAATTTCATGCCAGACTTGATTCTTGTGCGTCAGTAATTCAATTTGTTTTCTTAACTGGGCTGCTTACATAATGGTGAAAGGGTGCATTTTCCACATTTTATTTTATCCATGCAAAACTCCATGTATTATTACAATTTGAGAGGTTTTTCTCTATCATCAATTCGCAAACTTAAGTGAAAAAATTATATTGATTCCAGTTTGAGTTGAAGATCCGATCTCTGTATTGAGAAGCTACCACGAGGTTGACCTTAGATGGTTGTCTTGAAATAGTCCTTAGTAATTACCTTCGTGTTCTGTCCCATTAAACAAACCAAGTAAGCATATCTATTTGCATGCCACTGCAAACCAAAAAAGAGATGATGTCAAACTAGAAAACAATCAACAGTCAAATTTTTTAACACATGAGTCTTCCTTTTATCACGTATGTAATTTCAACATAAAGTATTAACAAAGTTTTGTATAATTTCATCATCGACACAAATCCGGCAAGCGAGCGAACATGGATGCTATGAATTATTGAAGAATAAAAAATTTATCATGCAATATCAATATGTATTTCCTTTATATACAATGAATTGATTCTTTTTGTGCAAAAATGATTTTATTTATGAAAGATTTTAGCATTTGTACCAATATGATTTTTATGCATACATTGCAACATAAAAATTAAAGTTGAATAAGCAACAATTGAATAATTAATCAAATAGTTAACAGTTAAAGTTTAATATAATTGTATGCAGACTTTATCACATAATGTATCAACAGGCGCAGCGTGCTGTATACAATGCCAATAAGTAGACCTTATTAGTAATCTATCAACGTGTACACTTCCCTTCATCAATATGTATTATGCATAGCTGCAATATAAATGTCCCATTTTCCATCGTTTTTTACTGGACTCATCGTATATATTCTTTTTGGGTTCTAGCCATGGATGATTCTATCAAATACAAAAATGCCCTTTACGATCCGTATAAATACAACGTAACAATGGGCGTGGCGTGCCGCCGCCCGGGCTATGCTAGTACTCCCTCCGGTCCTTTTTAGTTCGCATATAAGATTTGTCTGAAGTCAAACTTCGTAAACTTTGACCAAATTTATAAAAAAAAACATCAACATTCAGTATGTGAAATCAACAACATTAAATGTGTCATGGCTTTAGTTTTCATATTGTATAAATTTAGAATTGTAGATGTTAACACTTTTTCTTATAAATATGGTCAAACTTTACAAAATTTGACTTCGGACAATTCTTATATGCAAAGTAAAAAGGACCGGAGGGAGTATATATACTATGAAACTATATTTCATAATGAACCTAACAATATTGATTTAGCGTTGTGAGTGTTTGTAGTTTTTTCTATAAGGCCAAATAGAGATAATTTAATTTCGAAAAAACTTATATGAAGACTAAAAATGATCAAAGGGAGCACGAGATCATGCCGTGCGTTGCGTGCATGGGAACCAGCCGGCTCTTTAACCTCGGAACTGCAGCTGCTGCATGTTGCACGCACGCACGCACGTATCCCACCGAAGAGCATAGAGGCGCTCGGGTGCACGCGTCTCAGGAAAGATGATTTGGCCTTGTCGACCGATGAGGGTGGGGAGATCAGCATCGAAGCGCACTCTTTGTCCGGGGGTGTCAATCGGGAAAGCTCGCGCGCGCCGTCGGGAGCTGCACCGCACCGCACCCGGGGGCACGTCGCCTCGCCTCGCATGCACGGCACGCACAGTGCGGCCGTCCGGCCGACCGAATCTTCTCGGCGCCGCATCACGACCGCCGCGGTACGACGGGACGAGAAAAGTACTCAATCAGCGAGCTAGCACTAGTGTGTTTTCCAGCGTGTTAGCGCAAGGCGGTGGGGGTGGGAAGTTTGGCCGGCCGCCGGGCCAATCAGGGCGCATGGTCTCGTACGTCCTGTCATACCGCTGGGCCCCCGCCGCCGCCACCTCCGAGTAGGGCCCACGCGGCCATGCTAGGATATGGTGATATGCTCGCGCCCGATCTCATCCACTTCACGCCCATGTCTAGGGCTCGCCCCGATCGATGACAGGCATACCCGGCTAGGGTCTCGTCGCTTCGAATAGTAGATGGTCGCTCTGGGCAGTAAAATCGACAGCCTTGTCCAAACAAGCTCAACTCGGCCGACACGGTCACGTGACGCGCCTGCTCATGCTCGATCGGCTCGCGCGCGCTGCACCCTCTCTGTCGGCAAAAATGACAAATCTGACCTTAGAACGAAACTAATTCACAAATTGAACTGCTATTGAAAAAAATTCACTCAACTGACCCTTTTGTATAGCGCCTGACATCTAGGCGTCACACTACACTGTGCCGCGCCTGACTCACAGGCGCTACACGCCTGGTCATCGTCGCGTTTAAGACTGACTGAAAAATATTAAGTCAGTGTGCAACGCCTAAGAGCTAGGTGCTGCACTATACAGTGTAGCGCCTAGCGTATAGGCGTTGCACTGGTGGCCAACACGCGGTACACTTCCACAGCCATTGCTGTGTCCTCTGCGCCTCTGTAGGCTGGCTGTAGCAACGAATCCTACCAGTAGGTGACGTGATGATGGATAGCTGCTGCTTCCCCATCGCATCCGATCCCTATTCGCGTAGTAGTAGCTTTGGGTTTTTCCTTTTTACGAGAAAAGAAAACCTTGTTCGCATACTCCTGGAGTTCGTACGCGCCCCAAAACTGAGCAGGTCAGGCCCATTAATTGGACGTGTCAACCCACTATGCATGCACATACACACACAGCTACAGCTAGCTGCTGCTGGCCAGCTAGACACGGTGCGGTTTTTTCTTTAGACAAAGACACTGTGCGGTGGATCGGCGCGTCATACGCATGCATAGGGGAGCGGCATAGGCCTAAGCCACCGCTCGCCCGGCCCGAGAACCGTATACGTACCGGTGCGGGTCGCGTCGGCATGGGGTCGCTAAACATGATAATCATCGCGGCTTTGCTGGTTCGCCGACGTACGGTTAGCGGCGAGGCCAGACCCATGCATGCACGATGCACAAGCTAGCCAGTTCCTCGTGTGTTGGCCACTGATGCAGCGCCGAGAGCTCAGGCGTTGCACGATATAGTATAGCGCCTAGCACTCGGGCGTTGCACAGTGTAACGCCTAGCTCTTAGGCATTGCACACTGACTTAGCATTTTTTTCAGGGTGCGCGATGGCAAGACGTGTAGCGCCTATCAGTCAGACGCTGTACAGTGTCGTGTAACGCCTAGCTTTCAGGCGCTGCACAAAAGGATCGGCCGAGTGAAATTTTTTCAGAAGCAGTTTACTTTGTGAATTAGTTTCGTCCTGGGGTCAAATTTGTCATTTTTGCCCTCTCTGTCCGTCCCCATCCGCCGCGGCATATGACGGCAGCCGGTTCGTCATTCCGCGCCACAGGTCAAATGACGGGTCTGCCCCTGGCCCTCTTCCCTGGGCGGCAGGTCAAGGCTCATCAAGCTCACACGTCCACGTCGCCAACCGGTAATCTCTCTGGGGCGTCAACGCGGGCCGATCCGGTTATGCGACGCGATGCGATCCTCCCTTGCGCGCGCTGCGGCGCCGGAGCTCGTCGTCGGCACGCGACCGCGACGTCTCGGCGTAGACCACGCGCCAAAGTTAATCTCCTAGTATCGACTACTATTTCCAGAAAGTTCGCAAGCTAATCTATTATTTGGTCCACCTTTTGAGCTCAGCCGGCTGGGAGTGTCAAGGAAGAGCCAGCGGTATATACGCGGACGCGGCAAAGGGACTTTTCTGACATTTCGGGCCATGCATTAAGCGGGAAAGGTAGGCGAGCTGGATGGACGTCGACGGCCAGCGGTCACAGGTTAATGATGAAGACGAAAGGCGGTGAATTATAGGCACTAATAATCAGCTGGTTGGCCGTGGACTGGGACAGCGTCAAACCGCCCCAGCCTGCATAAAGCTGATCTTTGTCGCTTCCACCTTTGGGACATTGCACATGTGACGCGTTTACGGACTGCCCAACTTTCGTCACAGTTTTTTTTCCATCAAGTTTGGGTTGCTTACTTAATAATTCCACAGCTGTCCGGGAACATCGTCAACCAGGCGCATGATGGTGGTGGTGCTATGAATCTTTTAGCAAGATCTTGCGAAGCTCATGGAGCGCTGCAACTTGCAAGAGCAACTTCTAGACCAGCTTAGCTGTCCCATAAGCGACGGTGCTTATAAACCTAAGACGATAAGCGGAGTATTAATTAGCACTAACCGACTTGATAGACCAGTGTCATTATGCTCTGATCGGCGATCGCCGCTTTGATCATCCGTCCAGGCCTCGCTTAATTTAAGTCCAGCCCGTGATGACATAAAAATGATCGGCATCGAAGCGGGCTGTCGCGTCTTTGCCTTGCCGCCACTCTCGTGCGCGGGACCCACCCTTCACGTGGGCCCCCACCACCTCCCCCCAAATCCACGAGATCAACATTTTCTGCGGCTTTCGCTTGGCCCAGAGCCCTCCACGTCCGCCCCCTCGCGCCACGTCACCGTCCCTGTCCCGCGCCCCCACCTACCGATATCTCGGGCTGGGATTCCCTCCCACGACGCGACGCCGCCAGATTTGCCTCGCCGTCCCCCGCTATAAAGCCACGGACGGCCTCGGCTTCCACTAACTTTTGCTTCGCCGTGGAAGGGGGAAATCCTGGTAGCTGGCTAAGCTTGCTGCTTTGCTTCCAAGTGTTGCTGCTGGTGGTGCTGTGGTGTGAGGTGCGATGGAGCTGCAGGGGCTGGGGAGGTACTGGGGCGTGGGCGGGAGGAGGTGCGGGTCGTGCCGGGGGTCGCCGGCGGCGGTGCACTGCCGGACGTGCGATGGGGGCAGTGGGGACGGGGCGTACCTCTGCGCGGGGTGCGACGCGGGGCACGCGCGGGCGGGGCACGAGAGGGTGTGGGTCTGCGAGGTGTGCGAGCTCGCGCCGGCCGCGGTCACCTGCAAGGCCGACGCCGCCGCGCTCTGCGCCGCCTGCGACGCCGACATCCACCACGCCAACCCGCTCGCGCGCCGCCACGAGCGCGTCCCCGTGCAGCCCATCGGGTCCTCGTCACCCGAGGGACAGGAGCAGGACGCGTTCGTGATGTCGTTCGGCGGCGCGGTCGACGGGGAGAATAAGCAGGACCCCGTGGGGAACCTGAACGACGCTCTGGAAGACGGCGCCGGCGGGAAGGACAACGTGAAGCTCGACTTCCTGTTCGCGGACATGATGGACCCTTTCTTCGGCTCCGAGCTCCCTCGCTTCCCGCACGCCGATAGCGTTGTCCCCAGCGGCGGCGCGCTGGAGCTGGACTTCGGTGGCGTCGCCGCCGCTGCTGCCGCCGCCGTCGTCTCCAACCCGTCCTACAGCTCCTACACGGCGGCGTCGCTCGGTGGAAGTGTAAGCCCTTGCTTTCCTTTCCTCCAAGAACCTTACCCTCGCGTCATCTGTACTGGTGCACCTTCCTGATCTTTATTGGACTTCCATTTAGCAGGGCTCGTCGTCGGAGGTCGGTTTGGTGCCGGACGCGATCTGTGGCCGAGGCGGCGGCATCATCGAGCTGGACTTCGCACAGTCCAAGGCCGCGTACCTGCCGTACACCCCCACACCAAGCCGCAGTACTGTAAGTGCCTAACCAGATTAGCTAGCTAACCTCTTAACTGTTTTATCAACGAGTACATGTAATTGATCACTGTTCTTGTGATTAAACAGGTCTCCTCGGTGGATGTTGGGTCGGTGCCGGAGCGGAGCGACAGCGCCGTAGTGGCGGCGACACCGGCGACGGGGGAGGGGAGGGAGGCGCGTCTGATGCGGTACCGCGAGAAGCGCAAGAACCGGCGGTTCGAGAAGACCATCCGGTACGCGTCCCGGAAGGCCTACGCCGAGAGCCGGCCGCGCGTCAAGGGCCGCTTCGCCAAGCGCGCCGACGACGCCGACGCGGACGCCGACGCCGTCGCGGTGGGCACGATCACCACGCCCCGGCCCTGCGTGCTCGACTTCGGCAGCTACGGCGTCGTGCCCACCTTCTGAGGCGGCGCCTAATTTCGTGTCCATTTCCTCTGGCGAGCGTGCCGGCTGGGTGCCTAATTAAATCCGGCGCGGCATGGCCGGCACGAGCGCGCCGACGTGCATGCGTCGTGTTCCCTCTTGTATAATTGCATGTAATGTTTCTCGAGCTGGCTGATCGCTGGCTCGAGTGTAGTATACTACTCTACTCGACACGCACGCACGCACGCACGCACGCATGTTTTGCTAGAACTAGAATAATACAGATAGTTCTAGTTGATAAGTCTACTACCCTGTATCCTTTTCTGTGCTCGCTTGATGGCAAATTAGACTAGGGCAATGTAACGTGTTTGCTGGAACAGCTTAGTTCTAGTTTTGGGATCCACAAGAAACTTATCTCGCGTTTTACATACCAAGGTTAAGTGATGCATCAATTTGTACCAGTGGCAACGCACGTCTCAAGCATTGGTCAGATGAGATTCACAGCGGCATAAAAATAGAATGACAATAAATTTTCTAAAATGTATGAATGAAACGGAAACACATTGAGAAACAGTATAACGAGGCTAGTTAGAAGCCTCCACAGCGATTTGATTGTCTCAGTTGTCAGATCTTTCAATCTACGATCTAGATTAGCACTGGTCGTCCCAGTTCGCCCGCTTGCATCACATACCGTCTCGCGGGCCGCTTCTCCACGGAATGACCTGGTCCTTCTCTCCTTAATCGGGCCGTGCAAGGCCCACTTGTTTCTAGTTCGCTGCTAACAGCCCACGTCGTACAGTTTCGAGTGCTATCCCTCCCATCGCAGGGCGAGTTCGCCACGATCGTGCGCCGTCGAGGACTCCGGTCCCATCCGTCCCAATCTTTTGGTCCTCTACCATGTTTTCACGTGCGGATCTTAAACATGTATTGGCTGCTTATCATTGCTATCGCCTAATTTCGTTTTCCTGCCCACCCAATATGCTATATTGACTGTATTTACTAATTTACTGCTAACTGGTTTATGCTGATTTGTATCAGATCTAAGAATCTTGGATCCCCAACTAGTGGAGGGCTTGGAAGCTTTGCACGTGTAAGTATGCTATATATGCCTTAATCCCGCTCTTTTTTCTATACTGTGTTTTTCTCTTCATCTCATCACTCTCTAAGAAGGGTGATAATGATAGCCCACAAATAGCTGCATGCTTGTTGTTGGTACTTATATGTCGTTTGTCTCCAATTTTATTTGACATCCATAATTTCAACAAATATGATTTACTACTTAGACTAAGGGACAACAACTCCATTTTCATCGTTTTTACCGCATGGGCGCCGCAACGCGCCCCTTCATGTTCTTCCATAGTGTATTTTCTTAGAAATGCACGGGCGCCGCAACGCGCGCCTTCATGTTCTAGTTTTTTTTTAAAGTGAGATATTATTGTGGTCAGGTTGTTGCATAGCGACAACAAAATATATTGGTTAATCTATTGTTTAATATAGGTTGCCATAGAAGAAATCTAATTATGACCAGAAAGCAGCCTTGCATTGTGTTTAGTACGTACGTGAAGATGCAATCCCACAATTGATATCAATATCATGGTGTAAGGAATTGAGAACTAAAATCTCCATTGATAATTCATAGATGAGTTTGCTAACCAGGTGTTATGTAAACCTGCAAATGGCCTTGAAAATGAACAATGGAATTTCCGGCACTCGATTATGTGCTGCAAATATTCCGAACTCTCGCATCAATGACTGCTAAAACGAAGAACATGTATATTACATAAAAGGAATCAATGAAATCGTATCATGTTCTGAAATAAATCATAACATCAGAAGGTATTTAGGGGCTTCACAACGGCGCTGGTTTTAACACACATCAAAAAAATTCAATTAAACGATGAACATTTTTTTCTAATATCAATGTTTCAAATTACATCAATGAACATTTTTCATATCACGATGAACATTTTCAGCACACATTAAACATTTTCATAAATGATATCCACTTTTCTCTTACATGTGCAGAACATTTGTTAAGTGTTAGAACTTATTATGTAAATTTGACAATTTCTTTAAAATTACACAAGTAATTATTACACTATATAAATAAATTTCTAAATATGGAACATATTTTTGTATTGCATAATTTTTTTCTTAAATGACACGAACATTTTTGTTGGATGATATGATTTTATTTTAATTATGAAAATAAATTTCTTACATCGTATATTTTTCTAAAAGAACAAAATATTTTCAAGCGTGATCATTTCTCTAGAAGCCACGAACATTTTTTGAACCTTATACAACTTTTAGAAGTTACGCAAGCATTGTATAGAAAATGTCATAGACAACTTTCCGAAACATGTGTGCATTTGTGAACCAAACTGTGGTTGGATAGTTAGAGGGACAGTGATATCCCAGCCCACCAGGGTTCAAGTCCTGGTGCTCGCATTATTCCTGAATTTATTCTTTCGGAAGTGCTCATAGACGTAGGGTGTGCATGTGTGCGTTCGTAGGGATGAATGTATGTGTGTGTATATGAGGCTTGTATCTGTACTGATGTTAAAAAAACATGTGTGCATTTTTTAAAAGCCATCATCATTTTCTGAATAGTCTGAACGTATTTTGGAAATTGCTGGAGCAAAATTTTTAAACTGCATGAACATTTTCTACATGTGACATGAACGCATTTGATAATAAATTAATTTATAAAATATATGTATTTATGATATTGAAGTCTATGAAAATAATAAAATGAAAAAAAATAGAAAACAAAGGAATGTTTTAGGGGTTAAAAAAGAGATAAGAAACAGAAGAAAACGATGAAACGCGGGATGAGAAAAGAAATTGTGCTTCCAGTATAGGGGCGATTTCTAACTTGCAGCAATTTCGCGTCTCGGATGAGCCTGGTACGGTGGAGTCTAGCCCAAATATAAGACGATGCAAGTGAGTGCAGCCTCCATCTCGTAAGAGAGACATAGGGGTACTCTATAAAGAAGTAATATCAGTGGCAGTCATAGAATTTACATCTGATGTTCAGTTTAGTGTTAAAAGTTATAAAATACGGCACTGCGGTCACATAACTTGTCTATGCATGCATATACGGTCAGTTTCTTGTATCCAGCCGTATCTCGTGCTCACGTGATGTCTGAGCATGAATACAACCCACATATCAGTGGCTGTGAATGGTGAGGCGTTGGGTGAGCCCGACATGGTGGAGCCTGGCTATTTGCACCCGCGAATTCTGTAGCCACAGGACCATAGCGCGCAAGTTATTTCTCGCTTTGTGCGAGGCATCTGTACGTTTCGCCTGAAGGATCTTTTGAACACGTATAACTGGGTCGGCCCACATCTTCTATTCGCGGTCTCTCTCGTTAGCTCGGGTGGATATAGACTGCAATCGTTGTAAATAGTTTTCTTCTTCTTCTTTGTTCGCTACTGAACGAATTTGTCTTGTTTTCTTTGGGTTTTTATGTTCATTTTATTTTCAGTTTTTACTTGTTTTTATTTTCTTTCTTTTTCTAAGTATTTTACTTTTTTTTATTTTCTTTCCTTTTCTAAGTATTTTAGTTGTTTTTATTTTCTTTACGGGTTTCTTTGTTTTATATCTTGTCTACTTTTACAAGATTTACTGTCTTTTGCTTTATAGTTTTTATTGGTTCTGTTTGCATTTTTGTTGCTTTCATTGCATTTCATTGTTTTTGCATAGGTATCTTTGGTCTTTATTCTTACTTGTAGTTTCCTTTGATTTTCTATGCTTCTTCACCGGGTTTCTTTCCCCTGCTTTTCTTCAGCTTTCTTTGTTTTTATTTTTCGTTTTTATTTGTTTCTTCATGGTTTTTCTTTGGGTTCTCTGTCTTCTTCATCTCTTTGTCGGTTTTCTTTTCTTTTTTGGTTTCCCAATTTTTTTTCTGGAATTCTGTAGTTTCTAGGATTTTCTACTTTTTCATCTATTAAACAAATTTTATTTTTATACATAATGTACATTTTTAGTGTACATGTGCATTTTTTATATATGTCAGGAACATTTTTTATGGACATTTACTATTTTTAAAATACTTGATTAACATTTTCATTTATATGTTTTGATGTTAACCTTATTCATACACATCTTACATTTTTCATACATATACAATACTTTTCATATTCATTTAACATTTTTGTAAGTACATGTTTTCATTACTTTTTCATAAATACATTTTTGAAATGAATGATTACCGCTTTCTAAATATATAATTAATATTTTATAAAGTACACGATTCAGCACTTTTAAATGCAATGATTTTTTATAAACGTGTTTCCATGACTAAATGTTTTCATACATATTGTACATGTTTTATGTAAATCTGAAACCGTTATTTGATAATACGTTTGCTATTTTTCAAATATATGATTAAGTTTTTTTTAAACACATGTTCTTGAAAAAACATATTCAAAGACGTGTTAAAAGAATTCAAATACATACCGGTTTTTAAATACTATGAACTTTCCTCTAAAGTTGTGCCATCATAATTTAATTCCACAAAAACAGTTTTTTAAAACAAAAGTAATTCTTCGGGAAATATATGTATTTTAGAATTATTTGAAAATATAACAAAAAGAAGAACAATTAGGGTTATCGACACGCCTATGACCATAGCGTACATTTGGCGAACCGAAAACATTAGTTCATGAACGGAAAGTAATGGAACAAACAACATAAGTGGGCCGTGTTATGACCACACCATTTCAAGCGAGGAAATGGTCTATCTGGCTATGAGCGAGCTATAAACGTGCCCGAACCATTGTGTGCATCTGGTGAAATCCTATGTCAAGCTTATGGCACCGAATTCTTCCTTAACCATAGGAAGCAGTCACATCGTCTCAGACATATGTTTTTATTGGAAGGCCAATTAAGTCCCAGCCGGTTACCATGGAGGAGGCTTTTACTTTTCCTACCTTACTTTCTAATTCTTGCATAAATGTCAATTTTCATATTCATTAAAAATGTTCACAATTGCTTTCAAATTCGTGAATGCAATTAAAATTTGGTATTTTAATTA